ATTTCACTCCACACTAGTTGATACCCTGCTTAACACCTTACTTTAATCTTTAAAACGTGTCTTTCAGGTGCATGTTGCTCATCTGTGTCAGATAAACGCGTACACTGAAGTTCTTATCACACTGTCAGAGCAAAGTAAATTTGAAGGTGAGAAAAATGTAAAGTTTAAATCAATATACCAATTCTAGCAACTGGTATGTTACTAGAATGTTTTGTTTGGTTAAGGCAAATCTTCCTTGATAAGGAAGATTTATACCAAGAAAGACAAAAGGGAAACAGTTAAGGATTTGTAATCCTCAGGAAGAAAATCCACCTAGGAAGATAACAATTGACTCTTATCCAAAATAAAAATGCCATTTTCTTTTATCTCTGGCGAGGAGAAATGAGTAAAAGTACACTGAATAGTCATGATTTGTAAGTGAACTGCAATCTTTTATCTGGGTATATTTGAAAATGTAGCAGTGAAGAAACCTGGTTATTGGGGATCAGTGCTATCTATACCAGAGCTTGCATGTGCTGCATCTCTTTTGACAACATGGATATTGTTTTTAAAGTTTAAATTCTTTCTTCATTATGTCAAGGCAAATGTTGTATCAATATGTTTTTTTAAACTGTTGTGAATCCCCCTTTTTTATCCTTTCAGTGCTTCAGTACTTGATTTTCTGTATTCAGAAAACCATCTTGGAAATTAAGAAGCTGTTGTATCAGATTGGGACTCCTGTAAACAAGATTTCTGTATAAAAATACAAACCTGCACAAAACTTAACACTCATAGTTTTACCTCCCAATTATTTGGGACATATTGATATTTTAATAGGACTGTTTAACCAAGGCTTTTAATTATTATCAGTGAGGATGGCTAAAAATGTTGTCGCTTCTAGTGCTTACATTTTTGTAATAGTAATTACATATGACCGTCATAGGAAACATTAGGATATATAAAGGTGTCTGAATCTTTCATTTTGCAGTGAACAAGAATTGAGTAGTAGAACGAACTCTGCCTTCGCAGGACCCCTAGACCTGCGATCTTACTGGCTTGGCAGTAGGGGACAACTTGATTGGCTTCCTGCTTTTATTAATGTCCTGTCTTTAAATAAGCAATTATTTAAATAAGTAATTGCTTTCTATCATAAGATTAAGTGTGGCTCTTAACTCATAACTACTGAGCTCACAAAGTTACAGGTCCTCTTTTCAGGGATATACTATTAGAAACGTTACCTCTATCTTCATTGAAACATGAGAGTGAGATACAATACATTTTAAATAATAAGAGTAAACTGCACATTTCTCTTTCAGGGGAACAAAAAGCAGAAAATGGCAAAAACAGAAGTATTCCTTTAAGATAACGCTTTGTAAATCTAATATGCCCTTAAAAGAAACACTTATTTGCTGAAAGGACACATACTTGCTGTCTGTTAAAATATTTTATGGTTTATAACAATTCAGAGACACCCTGACTAATTTAAACCATTATCTGTAGACAAAACATTCAAAATTACTGAGCACATTCCCTGTTTATGTCTCCCATAAAAAAATCAGATTCGTAATTTAGAGTGATTAAAAGGTCATTTGTTTTTGACAAGTGCATAAAACAATTATACATTATGCAGTATCTTGGGGCTTTAGATTCAAAATGAGAAAAACAGCCCTGAAAACACCGGAAGTAAAAAGAACTGAAAGAGATGCTAGTCTCTGCGTTTCGGGAAATATGATACAGAAACACTCTGGATTCATTAAAAGCTCAGCTGGGAAATGGCATGTTTATATATACAGTATCTAAAAGTCAAACACTATTATTTGCAACAGAAGGAAAGCATCTCGAGTAGGGGATAGACACCTTTCCAGTTGTACTCTGATGCTTTACACAAGGAAGCAGAAGTAGAACAAATCCAAATTCATCAGGAGAGAATTATACAGCACCACCAGCCTCTGACGAGAAGAGCACATCACTTGCCTTTCCTCGCCAGTGCTCAAATGAACATCTTTTATATATCTACAGACCTGGATATTCTGCTTTTGCA